TAGTTCTAGTTGTATATTCAATAAGGATATTAATCATCAAACGATTATGAGTTATATAGGTACATATTCACAATTAAGTATATAAATACTTAAAAAAAAAGTTGTTTAATATGGATAGGCACATACCTTTATTTTGCAATCATGAGTTTATCTCAAGACTAGTTGTATATTCAATAAGGTAATTGATTATCAAAAAACTATGTGAGCATGTAATATGTACAAATTATCATTTGTTAATGTATAAGTAGGTACAAAAATGTAAGTACATAAAATAAAATCATATATAAAATCAATCATCAGAAAAATCTTTTTTAACTAATATATTTTTTTTTACACATATAAGCATTTTTTTACTTTTCTATACTCCAAATTAACAGTAGTGGGATAAATTAATGTAATTATCAGGACTAGGATTTGTATGAAATAAAAAAATTGTAAAATATGCATTTTATTTACCAAAATATGCAAAAATATAGATTTAAATTTTTATAAGATAAATACAAAAATATAGTTATAAAAAAAAAAAAAAATATTTATTGAATTACATCAGTGGTTGGTTATTTGTCTTAATATAATATAATAGAGAAATAAAATAAAATAATTCAAAATAAAATTTATGTTTGATAAAAAAAATCAAGTTTTATACTTTTGTTGTATGCCAGATCGGGTAAACTCGGTAGAGTCCGTTGGCATTACAGTAACGTTTTTTAAGTTCGCACTTTAGAAAAAAAACACCACGAGGAAATTCTCAATTCAACAATTTTATTAAAAGTATTTATTTTATTGAGTCGCTGAAAATTATAATATAGAAAGAACGATTTTACAATTGCTTGGTTGTTACACGAATGTCAGCATTTGTCCCCACATATTAACATATACATACTTAACAATAATAATAATAATAATAATAATAAGTATAATAATAATATACTATAATATGCTGTGGTGCACATAACACTTTTATCAGCGGGGCTAGAATTAAATACGAAATATACTATAATACATTCATTTTTTGCATTCATATAATTGAAATATGCAATAATATCCATTTTATCTAAAATATGCAAAAACATGCAAAATAAAAACACCACCATTTATCTCATCATGAGGTGATTCGTGGACATTATTGACAAAATCAATATTCAGAAGTCGCATAAGAAATCATGCTGTTGCATACATATCCTAACCCTGGTAATAACTAATAGAACATAGCCACATAGGTAGGTTATAGTACAATAAGTTGGTAGTACAGAACTTATAAGTAAAAACTAATCATATTAAATATTATAATTAAGATCAGTATAAATTATTTAAAATAATGCATATTTATAATATATCTGTATTTTTATTTTAAAACAAAATAAAACATTTAAATAAATTAAGTAGGTACTTACTATTTTTTACAGCAGTAATTTGGTGAATCAATTTGCTTTTTATATTCTTGTTTCCAGAAAAAAACGATTTTATATCATGCGAGTTTCTTTTAAATTTTCGTACTTTACATGAGTTAATATGTCTATTCCAATTGTTATCGTTCATTGATGAACTTAATTTCCCGCAATCACATTTACAAACAGAACTCATAGTTTTTGGTATTAAATAAATTACTTTATAAGGTTGATTTGTACTTAATATTCTTAGACAATTATAATTTTTAACTTTAAATAGTAGTGGTTAAAAATTAAAAATTCTTAAAAGTTAAATAATAAAACCAATTAAATAATATAAATATATGTCACAGTCTTTTTGAATTATAGTTGGCTTATTAGTTATTACACTAAACTGAAGGTACAGTTGATTTTCAACGATAGTGTATCATAATTTATAGGAATTTTTAGCTATTTATAAACACTATAATGGACTAAATGTTGCATTTTTGATAACATAATAGACGCTAATAATGTAATATACGTATGTTAGTGGAGTGGGTGGTCGCCAGTCGGCGAATGTCTATTTTGGTTGATGGTTTTTATTTTTATTTTTGTTCTATCCAAAATGCGCCATTAGTTGTTACTGTTCTTACTAATCAGTAATGATCGTATTATTATGAACTATTTAGTGTTAATTGATCAACGAAATAATGTATATGTAATACCAAATACTCGCAGTGGGCAATACTACTTAATAATTTGTGATCCTATTTCTATTAATTGTCATCATTTTATTTTCCTCTGGACCCACCCCCCTCAAATGTTTATATATATGGCAGCTGCCATACATAAACATGGACTTCGGCGCCACTGCAACGAATGAATCAAACTTTGCACTTATATGATTTATTATAGGCAAGGCCGGATCTAGGGTGGGGAAGTCGGGGATTTATCCCCGGGCGTAACATTATAGAGGGTGTAATTTTCATAATTATTAACAACTAATTTGATATATTTAACTTCATTAAATACTGATATTAGATTAAAACTCAATAAGTACGATTGTATATTGATTATAAGAACACAATTTATTTGAGTATTTATTTATTAGTCTATGAATAGGGCGTAATTTTAACATTTTACCCGGGCGTAAAAATTCCTAGTTCCATCTCTGATTATAGGTATATACATAATACAATCATTCTTTTTACACAATTTCCTAACACTTAATAATGATTTCGATTTTCTTCATATTTAACATTCAAAAAAATAACTATACTAGTATATTTAATCTATGGTTGTACAGTTTAAAGTATTTAATACTATAGTATAGATCAAAATCACAAGCCTTTACAGAGTAAATGCCATAGAATTTGGTGTGAAAGAATAATATTTGGAAGATAATTTATACTAACTGGTTTTATGAACTCATTCGATATATTTTATATTCAATTTAAAATTTAACAAGCGTGAATTAAATAATATAATGTCTTAAGACTTTGTTCAAGACTAACTTCTAAGACTTTGTTTTTCATAACATACTTTTTACCGGATTTGGATAAAATTGACCAACTTCTGAGTTTAATAGTCATCATCGTTAAAACGATGAAAATTATGCAACGATTGTCACTATAATGACAATACATCGTGATTTAAAAAATAAAGATCCAATAACTATAAACGATAACATCTGAACATCCTTTGAAATATTCCTTACTTAGCACAATCCTAGGAAAATCATCGCATCATTCAGTTGGCTTCGAAAACTATTGGAATGTTCTAACAATTTCCTAAATCAGAACTGTTCTGAGAACCTTCTGTAAATAATCCAAAAAAAATATAAGTGAGTCTAGATTTCATAACAGTAAGTCTTTTCCATTTACATAACAACAAAACCACAAATCAAAACCAATAATATTTAACCAAAATTTTTTTTTACTTAAATTTATTATTGTGATACTTTTATTTGTTCTGTAGATTTGTTCATTACATTTTTTTATGTATAAAGAAATACTTAATATGAATCTATGACTATATAATATTTTTCTTCATCAGAATGATATTTCATTTTACAGGAATTGTTCAACTTACTGTTTCATGTATAGTACATAATAATGTAACTTGTATAATTAATTATAAAACTGTGTTACTTTGAGTTCTTATTTCACAGATTAGAAAAGAGGTTTGATCATTTTTCTTCTACATAGTTATGTCAATAATCGATTTGAGTTTTATTTACCCGTTTGGATATCCAGATATATTTTTAGTATCATTTGGTATTTGTTTAGATCAATTTAAATAAAAATATGTGCAACTTAAAAAATTAATATTTTCCCGTTCATAATACTGATTTTCTTACAATTGAAGTCCAAAGAGTAGCAATGAAATATTCGAGCTTAGGTATTATGCGATTATAAATTTTAAAATATAAATTTTTTATGTCCTGTAAATCAAGGGTTTACCTATTAATTTATTATTATAAATTGGCAGTGGTGGATCCAGGATTTTCTTTGGGGAGGGGTGAACAATGTTTTCCCTTGGGATATATTTTATAACATTGCAGCCAGTGATTGATAATAAATTAAGATAATAGTAAGTAAAACAATACATTATTTTAAATCTAAGAATACTAATTTCTTGTATGAATAAAAATAAAAATTATATACAAGTACTTTCCCTCAAACTTAAAAAAAAAAAAAATATTTTTCTTAATTTATAAAATTATTGATTTTTAATATGTATTTTTCCTGATTGGGGGAGAGGGGTTTCGAATGCTTTGTATATGTTTACAATAATAGTCTGTTGTATCTAACCACGTTCCCCTACGAAATTATAAGATCAGGTGATAGTATTACTTCAGGAGCTTCGTATGTAATCGTTCTAATAGACATAATAAATACTAACTATTAAGATAAGAATTTATCTCTATCATCTTTATAAGCTTATAACAAATTGTTGACCTTGATTTATGAAAAATATTCACTAAAGCGCTTTATTTTCGATAAACCATAAAATTATGCACTAAAAGCTCAAAATATGCTCTTATAATCAAAAAATGTTCAAATAGGCAGAAATAAAAATGTTAAGTATTTCATCATAAATGTTATGAAATGTATTTTATACTTAACAAGCATATGATTAAGTTAACTAGAAAAAATATACGTATTCCCAGATGGAGCGTCGATGCTCCGGGGACCAAGAAATCGGTGCTTCGAGGACCAAGATACTAGGGGAAATAAAGTACGTGGACGTCGGCGTTCAGACGGACGGGCCGCCGGTGACCGTGAAGCGTTGCCGTCTGCTACCCTCCGATGGGTCTATCGCGTTGAAGCCGCCGATCACCGCCCAAGGACATCGGGACCCGTGCCCTCCCGACACCATGGTGAAACCGGCCGCTTGGCGGTTCCAATAACGACCTGTTGCCGCCAAGCTGCAGTTCTCGGTGTCAGCGTGCTCGGATGCATATAAGCGTAGTGTACATTGTTAGAGAACCAAATGAAAATACTGTGCTACGATTGGCTGTAATCCCAATGAGATAACGGCTTCGCTATCAATTATCTGAATTTCATAAATTACGAAAATGATTAGTTATAAAATTTCTGAATTTTGAATATTTTAAAGACGTTTTAATGCTTTTAAACTTTTAACTTTTATTTGGAATTCGAAATTTGACAAAATGTTACTTCTAAAAAATATACAAATGACATTGTTGAAAAGAAATTGGGAATACCGTTAACATCAGATCAAACATAACATGGAAGATATCAATAATTAGGTTTCTTAAATTAAATATCGAAAACATTTTTAATTTATTAACTTTTAATTAAAAAAAAAAAGAAGAAAATAAGGTAATAATGATAGGTAATAACTTTTTTGTTCACAAAATACCAAATGCCAAAATATAATCATAAAGCACGATGCACGAATGAACGGAATGAACGAATAATGTAAGTATGTCTGTATTAGGTATGCAATCGTAATTTAATGGTCAATGCAGTCTAAGAAATAAAAATAACAAATATGGTAGTATATTGTAATACTTGTAATGTTTAATGGTAATGCTTGTCTGCTGAGGACGGTTTGGTCGTTTGGTGTGCTCGAATGTTTAATAGCATCAGTACAGTTTTTGCACTTTCCGTAAATGAGCTGTTTATAAATCTACACATAATAATATGATGTGACTGAATAACACCTATAACCTTATCGTAATTGTCAATTACGGCTACTCGCAAAACGACTGAGAATGGAAGCTATAATAAGTACGGTCTAGACTCTAGAAATAATGGACATATTATTTAAGACTATGATTATAATACAGGGTTATTCAAAATGATTCATCCAATTTAAAATACTTACATATATTTATATTTTATACTTAGAACAATATTTTATACATTAAATTAAAGAGAAATATGTCAAGTTTAATTAATTATACTTATAAATGTTCTATGTATGCTCCTTTGGTCACACGAATAACATCTAGTCGGTAGTCAAATTCATTCCATACTTCTTGCAACAAATCTTTTATAATTGACTCCACCGCTGTTGTTATTCGATTTTTCAATTCATCTAGGGTTGATGGCAATGGTGGTATATACACAGCATCTTTAACACATCCCCAAAAGAAATAATCACATGGCGTGAGATCTGGTGACCTAGGAGGCCAGCTGCAAAGTGTTAAGTCATTAGTCCCATTGCGACCAATCCAACGGTTAGGGAGTGTTTCGTTTAGAAAACCACGGACATCTAAATGCCAATGCGGTGGTGCTCCGTCTTGTTGATAAATGTAGTCATCAGAATTATTGTTTAATTGTGGAAATAGCCAGGTTTGAAGCATTTCTAAATAAGAACTACCATTTACTGTGTTTTCAGTAAAAAAAAAAAGGGCCATAAACTAAAGTCTTGGATATGGTACAGAACACATTAACTTTATGTGAGTCACGCTCGTGTTCGATTATGGCATGAGGGTTGGTTGTACCCCATATACGAACGTTATGACGGTTTACTTTACCACTTAAGTGGAATGATGCTTCGTCACTGAAAACTAAGCGAGAAGCAAAATTTTCATCCTGCATAGCCTCCTGCATAAAAATGCTAAATTCAAGTCGTTTCAACTTATCATTGGGTTTTAAAGCCTGCAACAGTTGCAACCTGTATGGTTTCATAGTTAAACGTCGTCTTAAAACACGCCAAACAGTTGTTTGTGGAATTTCTAGTTCTCGACTTGCACGGTTGGTTGACTTACACGGACTGCGTTGAAAACTCTCTCTAATTCTATCCACATTATCATCGGATACACGAGGTCGACCTGTGCTTTTTCCTTTGCACAAACACCCTGTTTCTTCAAACTGCTTATACCATCGACGTATACTCTGAGCAGTCGGTGCATCGATACCATAATGACGACGAAAATCGCGTTGCACAGTTATTATCGATTCACACTTCGAAAATCGCAACACACAAAACGCTGTGCTGTGCGGTCGACATATTTGCGGAAACTAACATATCGCCTTAAGCGATAATTTAAAAATAACGAATTAATGACATTGTAAAACTTGGGATTACCCTCTATTCATTTCTACATAATTTGATAAGATAAAATTTATATTTAACCATTTTATAGCTATCTTAAATTGGATGAATCATTTTGAATAACCCTGTATTGTTACTAAAAAAAGAATAACAAACATTTATTTTATTCGTTTTTTCAGTTCTGTATGATTTTTGAGGGGGCTTTGAATGTTTTTGAGAGGGCTTAGCCCCACCAGCCCCCCTAATTGTGCCTATGGTCGTCGACCCGTTTTGCGACGTCGGCCGTCTGGTCGTTCGATTGGCGCGCATGTGCCGAAAGGTGATCACCGTGGACAACGACCTGGCCAAAATACAGTTGGCTCGCCGGAAGGCCATGGAGCTCGGAGTCGCCCACTGGATTGAGTTTCGGATAGGTGACAGCTTCGAGGCGCTATCCGGAGTGACGTCCGACGCGGTGATCACTTCGGCTCCGTAGGTGGCCCTGACGTGGGATCGAAACCAGCGGTTCAGTGCCGAAGATTTGTGCAACCATCAGAAGGGTGGACTAGTCGGTATTCTCAAGATTTCGCGTGAGATCACCCCCAGAGTCGTTCTCCACGTGTCCAGAACCATCCATATGTCTCAGACTGTGAAAGTGTTGAAAGACCATGGTTTTAGGCACGTGGAGATCGATTACGTCAGCGTAGAGGGGTGGAAGAACTCCTTAAACGCCGTTCTGTACTTAGAGATGTTGAGCGAGGGTGGGGGAGTGATCAAACCGACCGTCTCCAAAGTGCTATTAAATCTCGGTAGTAACGCCACAGAGACCATATGCATAATCGCATGTTTAATCAGCAGAAGATGGAAGACATTGTGATCCAGAACATTTTTTTTTCATCAAAACATTCATAATTCTTGTACTGTTTACTTATTTTTTTATTTTTTTACTTTGTTTTGCTTTTGCGGAGTTTTTTGCTTTTGTTGCTCTTTTTTTTCCTTATAAAGGTTTTTTTTATTTTTTGTTATATGATACTAATTTTTTTCAACTGCCAAGTAATTCATTTAGGCTACACCAAATCAAAGTAATAACTTGTAATTAAATTCAAAATGCATTGATGCAATGTATATTTTAAATTTATAATAATAACAATATTTTTCACTATAACGAGCGTATTGGCCCATTTCGTCAAAATATGTACAGGGTTTTTCTTCTTTTTTACCATTGTTATAACATATTTATTTTTTCATATTACCAAGTTTTCTCTTTTTCTTTATGACAATTTTCACTTTTTTTTTTATATTTTCATAATTTTTATTACATTACTTTTTATCTGTGTAGAAATCTTATATTTTTATGATGTTAATATGTTTTATAATAAAACATATTATGTTATGTTTCATTATTTTATGAACAGCAATTGAATGGCAACCGATGGGGAAAAGACCAAGAGGAAGGCCTAGAAAGCGATGGATGGATGGAATAAGGAAAGACTTAGAAACACAGGAAGTGACAAATTGGGAAGATGGAGTACAGGATCGTGACTATTGGAGAACGATGACATTGGCAGCCAAATTCTTAAAGAGTTGTAAGGCCAAGAAAGAAGAAAGAAAAAGAAAGTTAATATGTTTTATTAAATAAATTATTATTTAATGATTTGTCCAGTTTTAGTTTTTTCTTTTTTCACAGGGTTTTTTTACTCTAAATCACTAAACCTTTAATTTTAAGATGCTAATTTTTTTCTACAATTTTACATATTGTATTACACTATATAATATACTTGTATATATATATATATACTCTCATTTATTGTGTTATATATTAATATTACAATATTACAGTAATAATATAGAGTATTCATTTTTTTTTTTATACTTAATTAACAATTTTCACTTTTGCCCATAATGTAGAGTTTTTTTAATATCAAATTATCGTTTTACTATACATACAACAATATCAATAGACAATAATATATACAAACAATATACGTCAATACATCATGTTCTTTGGCCTTTAAATAATTTGACAGTTTTATTTCATGAAATTTTTATAAAACCGTTTAAAAAGTATTAAAAAAGTGAAATTAAGTGGAAAAATTTAGAAAATAGTTGAAATAGTTTTTATAAATGAGTAAAATCGTAAGTTCATGCACTAAAAAACGCTTAAATAAGCATGTAATAATGCACTAACATTTGATCAAATATGCATTAAAAATTCTTAACTATGCACAAAAAAATGTATAAGCATTTTTTAAAATAATAAGAATTATCCATTCATATTTTTAAGTTACATTTTTTCTTCGATTACATTTTATTAAAATTATAATTATTAAACACACGTTGCGATGAAAATAGATATATTGCAATGAACACGTCAATAGTGATAGTGGTGCGCAATAACATTGTTTCTTTGGTACTGCTTTTAACTTATAAAACTTAATGTCGTAAAAAAATAAAAATATTGATAAAATATTCAGTACCATTTATAAGTTCTTGCGGTTTCTAGCTTATAAATGTAATAGACTCCTTAACTGACTCGTCTTAATCTTGAATACATAGTCGAATTCATAGAACAACGTAGAACCATATTTGATTTATATTTAATTTACAAAATACTAAGTTGCCAGATTGATGGTTTTGATTTTTACATATTCTTTATATAAATTAATTTTCAAATTAAAGAACTAAGTAACACAAGAATAAATAACGTATTTTATTAATTAAAAACCCTAACTACAAATTATACTTACCAACAATCCATAATCTATAATTAGAAGGTACATTGTAAATATCTATAAATTTTATCATTTTTGTTCTATTACTTTAATTTTTTTAAAAATTATGCCTCTATATTTAATTTAACAAATTAATTTATATACCTTTGTATTATATTTTATATTGTTTCATATAAATTCTATTTTTACCTATTGTTAGTTATATACTTATGTTACTATGTTAGTATATATAATCACAAATATTTTTATTACCAAGTATATGATCATGACGAGATAACGTATGTAATTGATCCAAACCCGTTACATTTTCAAGCAAATAAATAAATATGAGACCATTTATCCGTCCTGAATTAACTCATAGTAAATAAAAATATTTAGGACTAATATTTTTCTTAATGAATTTTCAAAATATCAGTAGCTGTTGAACTCACACAATACATTTTAAAATTCTAAAGTGGGGCCAAAAACATAATTAATTTTGAAAATATTTAATTATTTTTAGTGGCTTTTTGTCGATTTAAGTAAAATTAGATTATCGTATCAATATGGACGTTAGGTTGGTAGTGTTGTAAGATAGTTTTTTGTCGGATTGTGTCGATGGTGTTTTGTCCATAGAGTAATTACTCTATGGTTTTGTCGAATGGTTTTTGTCGTTATCATGTGACTTTGTGTCGAGTGGCTTTTTGAGATGTTATCCTTTTGTATCAATGTAATTTTGAAACAGTGTTATTTTACAAACAAAACATTTATTTTATTATATAATTTTTAGAGACTTAATGTTGGCAACACATTTTATGCCTCTTTATTTTGATTTAAGTCCTTATCATTTTTCGGAAATCTATCCTTAACTCCAAAATTTCAAGAGCTCAATACTTTACTTAATCTTTTTTTCGAGACCCCGTTCCTAACACTTGTTGAGCATTATTTTATTTCATTCGTGTGTTCCGTGGGCTAATATTTAATCCTGATTTGTAATGTACATGTAATATAACAGTATCATTTTAATGTATTGTTAATCACGTTACTTTCGATTTTTTATTACTTACCAATTCATATTTTCTCCTTAAATAATTGAAAAATCAATTTTTGTTACAACTTAAGTGTTTGATACTTTGTTTTCAAATTTCCGTTATACCAATTACTCATCCTGCACCAACTCAATTTGGTGTAACAGAATCTACCTATGCTGTATGAAACAATTATATAATGGAAACCGATCCTTGTGGCTTAGTTTTACTTCAGATTGTATCTAGAGGAAATGCCATTATTGCCGAAATATTACGGCTTAAGAATTTTATTCCTCCAGTTTATAAGTAAAATATTGTTTAATTTACATTATAGTTATATTTGAATTAAAAGTTAATTACTTCAAGGTTATTATAAATTAATAACTTGTCATTAATTGTATGTATATTTGTGTTATGGTTAGACGTAAATTAGTGGTTAAATTTTTATTTAAATGAAGATCTTATTTTGTCTTAAGTATTGAGAACCATAAAAAAATTAGTATAAAAGAATGATGGCTGACTGTTGTGTATAATAATAACTTGAATTGAATAAAATACTTAGGAAATAAAAAAGGATCAATTATTTTTAGTTATACATTTTTAAATAATAAATAAATGTACAGAAAAAAAAAATAATAAATATTGGTAGATTTAAAATTAATTAATTACAGGTGTTTTTTTTAAGATTTGTTATAACAAATAAATAATATTATAGATATTAATTCAATAAATTGTGATTAAAATAGTAATTGAGTAAGTTATGACAGATATATAGATGTGAGGAAGAATTGATAACAGGTTTTAATTCATATGTATTTCCTAAAATATTGTTTAAAGAGAGAGAGAGTTATAGTAATATATTAACTGTATATTTACAATTTATCGTTATTCAATTTTGGCTATACATACAAACTATAATTAATTACAAAAAGTTTTATAAATTTATTTAAGTATATTAATATGAATAAAATAGAATAATAATTCAATTAAAAATAATCCTATTCAAGATTCAGATTATTAATGATTATTTGTAATTTTAGATTAATCAACAAGCAAGAATTACAAAAATATGGTCAAATAATATTAGATTTTTCCTATTTCAATAATCCAAATGAAGTCGAAAATAAAATAGAGACAAATCCAGTGAGGAAGATTCTATTATATTTAAATTTATATATCTAAATTATGTATTAAATTTTAGGCTTTAAATGATTTAAATGAAGAGTTAAAAGAAAGTAATTTGGAAATCATTAATCAATTCTATTTTTTATTTGAAAATGTATATAAATATGTACGTGATTTAAATGAATATCTGGATGAACTTGAAGAAGGAATTTATATACAACATACTCTTGAAACTATGTTTATATCTGAAGAAGGAAAACAGCTATTAGTAATTATATTTATATAACATTTATATTACAATTATGTGCTTATAGTGTATGTATAGAAAACATTAAGGCTGGATTTAGGAGTATGTTGCCTAAACATTTTTACTTAGCAACCTTAAAAATTATGTGCGTTGAACATTTAGAGGTGTTGCTTATAAAGCTTGTCTTAAATTAGCTTTGATAAACCCAAGTCTGAAAAACTTGAAAATGTTTCTTGTGTTTTCCTCTCCAAGTGTTTGCTTCATTATAATTGGGTGTATTAGAATTTGTTTGGAATTAGGGCATTCTAGTACAACATATTTGATGGTAATTTGTTTGTTACAAAGTTAACATCTCGGAGGCTCTTCTTAGATTATTAGATGTAGGTGTGTAAAACGAGTGTCCAATATGTGTCCCTGTAATAACTACTTTTTCCTATCTGGTTGTGGGAGGGAAGATTTCCATGTGATGACTGAAGTTTTAATTTCTCCAAGTTTATTTTTTTTTTTGACATGAAATTGTTTTCCTTAAATTATATGTGTACACTATTAAGAGTGTATAGTATTATGCTTTATGTTAAATTTAATTTAATTAAAATTTTTTTTGTACTTATCGTTTAAATACAAATTTATGGTGTGGGCCTCTACTCTGCAATATACTCCAAAAACCCTCCAAAGTATGGTCTTGAAAAACCTATAACTACAAATTGTTTTAATAAAATGTTAATTTATAAAATTTCAGTGTGAATCATTATACTTATATGGTGTTATTTTGTTGTTAATTGACATTAACATTGAAGGAATAATCAGGGAAAGATTATTAGTTGCTTATCATCGCTATAATGCTCAAGAGTATAATAATCAAAATTCAATTGAAGATATTTGTAAATTATTACGAAGTACAAAAGAGGGTTCAGCCAGAAAAATATCATCATATCCTATAAACTATTTCAAGTAACTAGTTCAAAAACTTTAATTATGTGTAATTAATAAAGCATGTTAAAATCATAGTATATTTTTATATGTATTTCCAAACCTATTGGATACTCAATTACTTATTTTAATGTAATAGACTTATTAAATTGTTTTTAAAAGTACACTTAACACTTAAGTTACAATTACATTTTGATGAGTGCAGGAAAATTAAAAATGTTTGGCTTAAAATTAAAATAATAATAATTTTGATCTTATTTTTAATCTATCAGTAAAAAAAATAATCTTAATAAAAGTACATTATCTTGACTTATAAATGATCTACTTTGGGAAAAAAAAAAGTTTTAGAGTTATTATTTTCCTGCATCCTTAATAAAAGTATTGATTATAGAATAATATAAACAACAGTTAATTCTTTAATCAATGGTAGAAGGTTAAATATTTGATTTACAAAATAAACTGTTATAGTATTGAATTTATTGCATTTATTTTAATTAAACCTATGTATGACAGTTAAATTATTTTGTAGAAGAGTTCCAGTTAATACAAACTTAATTAATATGACTATTGAAAGATTGAGGTCAGATGATGTATATAACCAATTAGCATTATATCCAAATCCAGATCATAGAAGTATTGCATTTGCAGGTCAAGCAGCAATGCTATTTGTATGTTTATTTTTTAAGCCTAAGATTTTAAATGAAGAATTTGCTATTATGAGAGAAATAGTTGACAAATTTTTCCCTGATAATTGGGTAAATATTTATTTATGTATTATCAATTAAAATAATTTTAAAACAATGTATACAAATATTGTAATAGAAATGTATTATTTGCCTGATTGATACAAAAGTAAGATTAATATGCTCACTATTGAATAGTTATACTGTGTTATTATTTCATGTTCTTATTTATAGGTTATTAATGTATATATGGGAGTTACAGTAAATATAATCGATTCTTGGGAAGAGTTTAGAGCAGCTAGAACTGCTGTAAGCAATATAATTCAAACAACAGAAATTAGTCGCTTAGCAAGTTCTCGTGCTCAAGATTTTCTGGTAAAAATATTAAATGAAAAAATATTTATCTATAATTCATTATATAGGTAAAAATATTGATTACATTTGCTTTAATATTAATTATTGACTATCTTATAACAATTTACAAATTTTTATTTTTATTTTGAGTAGAATTAGGAATTAATTAAAATATTAATAATTTATTTTATTTAAATTTTAAAAGTGTAATTTATTTGAAAATGTGTTTAATTATTAGTCCATATTGTAAAATGTTTAAAGTTATGAACACTAAAAGTTTATTAATATTTATATATTAAATTAATGTATATTACCAAATTTAAATACAATTGTAATCATAAAGATATTTTATTAAAAATATATAATCGTCTATATTATTTATTTATATAACATATAATTTAGTTTCTATAAAACATTCAACTTGCAAGCTTATAAAAATTATTTATTATTTTATGTAAATATTTTTTTTTTAAAAATTACAACTTTTATTAAATAAAATATTTTAAAATATGAACTAATTATATTATTTAAATTTAAAATAAATCTATAATATACGTGTGTATACATGTATACTGTCTATTTGTGCTTATTATTTATTAGTTAATAGTGTATACACTTATTAATAATTACTAATAAAGAATTAAATTAATTATCTAGAACATACCAAAGGAGTTAAATTCAATACTTGGGAATCCCAATATAGAAAAAAAAATATTGGATAACATTAATTCTGTTATGAATTTATATCGGAATTGTAATGTTTTATTAAGATGGTATATATTACATACATCAAAAATTCATCTTCGTAAGTTTAAATTAATTCTGATACTTGTATATTTTTGGTTGTACTATAATATTTATTTATCAACAAATTTATTTATAAATTCAGTTTCAGCTAGTACGCGAAAAAGTAAAATAATTTGTGACCAAGTTTGCAAACAAAGTTTATTTAATGAAAAGAACATTTTTGATTTATTAATAACTACATCAGAATTTGAATTAAAAATAAAACATTTATTTAAAAGTGTAAGTTAATTTTCAACAATTTTTTAGTTTTAATTATATAACTGTTTTTTATGTAGTTGTTAGATGAAAAAGATGCTAGATGGCTTAAAAGAAAACAAGATTGTGTTGAGCGTATGAATGAATTATCAGAAATTTTTTCAGGATTAACAACTATGTCACGAGTTAAGAAAAATGGTATTAATATATAATATATGTATTTATGTCCATTTGAATGATGTATTTTGTATTAATTATTTGAAATTTTTTAAAGAAAATTTACAATTATGGTTTGTTAATATTGGTAAACAAATTGAATCAATTTCTATGGATGATGAAGTTATTGCTACCAGAAAGATCACCCAAATTATTAAAGCTTTAGATGAGGTTCAAGGTAATATACTAGTAATTTAATAATTTATGTTAATATTATTGTGTACTATATTTATAAGTAAATGTTGTTAGAATTTCATCAACTTGCGCATAATTACCAAGTTAGTCAGACCATTGAAGATACACATAATTATCTTCGTGAAATGATGAAAACTCAAAGTGTTAAGGATAATGTTCTAATTGTTCATCAAATTATTGGAGACTTTAGTTATGCTTGGTATCATATTGATAGATTCACAGACTTAATGCGCAATACAATAAAAGATGATCCTTCATTTGTGATTAAACTTCGGGCAACATTCTTAAAAGTAATACTTATTTTAATATAGTAACACATTTTTACTTTACTAAAAAATGTTAAGAAATTTATTTAATTAGGTTTTGTTTCAAAATTAATTATGAATCTTTATTTTATATTTTTTATTTTTTGTACTTTAGCAGAAAAAAATTATGACAAAATATTTTTAAGGCTTCATTTTCTAAAAGTTCATAAGCAAATAACTAAACATTTTTTTGTGTAATTGTTAAAGTAATTTCTCATGTTTCTTGACTTTGTAATACCTTCAATTAATTCATTTTTAATTTAATTTTTTTAAAAAAATCCAAAATGTTATTTAAATTTTTATTCATATTAAACATATAAATGTTAGAACAATATTAAATTTTAATAAATGTTTAAACATTTTTTATAAAAAAAAAATTATTTTTATTTTTGTTTTTTATTATAAATCATATATATTTGATTATGAGTTTCAACTATTAATAACTTTATCAGTTAACATAATTAAACAATTAATATTACTGACACTTGAGATCTTACTGAAATCATGGTAATTGATATAGGTAGGTATGGATCTAAAAGCAATTATTTTGCAGTATTTTATATATTTTTAACCTTTTTTGCTAATCTTTTCATACAATATTTAACAGTTTTTTATTATTTCTATATTGAATTTGTTCTGAGATATTTGATGTTAGCTAATCCAATCCTTCACTTCTTATCGCTTTGGCTTCCCATATTCTGTCAATACATAAGCAGTTATAATATAGTTATATATATCTTTACTAATAATAATAAAGTAATATTTTATATATGGTATCATATGTGTATTTAATTAACATTTTTAGCTGGTATCATGCATGGAAGTACCACTCATACGTATCAATCAATGTGGTAGTGAAAACTTTATGTCAGTTAGTCAATATTATTCAAATGAGTTAGTTGAATATATACGTAAAGTACTTCATATAATTCCTGAGACTATGTTTAAACACATGGATGATATAGCATCGTTACAAACAAATGTTATTACAGAAATACCAACTAGATTAGAAAAAGATAAACTTAATTTCTCTGCCCAGCTTGATAGAATTCTGAAGGTAAAAATATTATAGAAAGTATATTTTATTTTATGTAAATAAATATATTATTAAAAATGTATTTAGGTAGCTAAGTTAACTTATTCTATATCATTAACGATGGAAGGAGTATTATATATGAAAAGTACCCTAGTTGGTGTTGTAAAGATTGATCCTAAACAACTTCTCGAAGATGGAATTCGTAAAGAATTAGTTCAACATATTGCAATTGCTTTACATAACGGTCTTGTATTCAACCCAAAAGCTAAAGTAAATACATATTTTTATTAAATTTAAAATAATTATTTATTTATGAGTTCATTATTTTAGACTAGTGAATTAGTATCCAAACTTGATGCACTTAGTAATATTATGGCTGGTTATCGTCGTTCATTTGAGTATATACAAGATTTCATTGGTATACCTGGCTTAAAAATATGGCTAGAAGAATTAAGCAGAATAATTGGATATAATGTTGAAATGGAATGCAACAGCTTCATGCGTACAAAACTATTAGATTGGCAAAGCAATAATCAGAGCAAGGTTGTACCTGTTCCATCATTTGAACCTTGTGATAATCAATCCATGACATTCATTGGGCGCCTTGCTAGAGAATTAATTAGAATAACTAATCCAAAGTAATAATTCAAATTTTTGTTTCAATCTAGTTTTCTTATAATATAATATGATTGAATGTTAATAATCAATAATCAATAATAAACTTTTTTCTACAACATTGAGATGCTAATCTATGTTACACAGAGTAGCTGTTTATAAAGAACAAACTACTGCATGGTATGATTATAAAACTCATGAAGAAATTATTAATATATGGTTATATTCTAATATAAAAAAATCAATAAGTGTTTGTGGACTTACTGGCTTGGATAAACTCATTGGATTCATGATAGTTGTTGAACAGAAGGTACTTAAGTAATATATAACATGTATTATGTATAACCATAGTCAGTGGTCAAAATGACTCGAGATAAGTGGGGGATGCCTTACAATTCAGATTTTCTGATATCATTATAACATTCTACACACCTTGTGTACCTATAATATTTTTTTTTGTTTTATAGTTCACATAAGGTATATTATTTTAGTCCGTGGGCTCTAAATACGGGTATAATATAGATTGCGAAACGGCTTATATTAAATAACACAATAAGCCGGACATACGGGCTTGAATGTTAAAAACAATTATTTTCACCGAAAAAAATAATTTCTTATATATAAATATAAAAATGATAATAAGTATATAATTTTAAAATACAAATCTTAGAAGGAATGCGTTATTCTAGAAAAAAAAAATTAAAGGGATGAAAACTGTAAATACAAAATAGTAGAGGGATGCTATCCTTCCCTATCTCCCCCCCATTTCGAGCACTGACCATAGTGTATTATATTATTTTGTTTATCACCAGTTATTGATTTTACCTTAATTATAGTTCATATAAAATGTATGAAATTTGGTAATTACTAATAAATAAACATTTATTATTTTGATAACATTTTAGAAACTATTTGAATATATTAAATACAAAGTGATTAAAGATAGAGAAAACTCACAAATTCTTGAAACTATAGCAAAAGAATTGTTATCTCCTGACTTAAATAAAAGTAAGATTTATAATTTATATAGTATAAATGAAACACCTATAATTTTTATATTATCTATGTATATATATGTATATATGTATATATATATAATATAATATATGTATATATATATATGTATATATATTGAATTATGTGTTAGTTATTCAACTATTAAAATTTTAAGTTATTTTATACTGTTTTATTAAAAATTTATAAATTAATATATATATATATATATATATATATATAAATAATATATAAATATATAATATATAAAATTATACAAATAAATATTTAATTGAAAAATTGTATTTTAATTGTAATTTATATTTGATGATTATTGATTAGGTAATTCAATTAAAACATACCAAAAACTTTGTTCGAAAATTCAAAAAATACTATCTATTCTTTTGGAATCAATTATGACAATTGGGCAGCTTCAAATTATACGAAAGCAAATATATTTTGAACTTGAAGTTTCAAGTAAATTAAATGCTAGAAATATATTTGATTGTATAGATACATTGAACAAGTAATACTATATTTTTATGAATAATATCTTAATTAGAATCTATATTTTATTTTGTTTTTATGCAAATCTTAATTTTTACAATACTGATGCACAACATTCATATATTATTAAATATAAAATAAAAAAAAAACAAAGTATACTTCAGCATCCTTAATAAATATTACTCACATTGTAATTAATACAATGTATTAAAAAAAATATTCTTATTATTTTGAATTTAAAAAACATCATCTAAATTTTTCAAAAATTTTGTTTCAAAATATTCACAAGAATGATTAATATACCTAAATTATTTACTACATCTAAAATGCATTTGTATAGAAAAAAGAGAATATTTGAACTTTTTACTCTCTTAGTTGCAGACTAAAAGTAAATATACCCAAATACTTAAAAACATGGATTTCTATTATAATTTATTATTTTGATGTATTTATAATTAATTTTAATTAAAAAAAACAAAAAATAAAAATAAATATACTGTAGGGCTGTGTTAAATGGAGTAAAAACCCACTTAAGTGATCCAGAAAATACACCATATCCAGATAATGATAACCCGTTGTTATCAGAAGTGAGCAAAATGATGGATTGGTCTGGAATTGGAGATCCGTATTCAAAATTATATATTACTGGAGATAATACTCAATGCATATCTTTAATTATATTTTTATTAACAGTAAATCAATTCTCAAAACTCCAATACACAGAAAATTTAGGTTTGTATTCTTAAAAAATAGTTATCAGGACAAGGTAATCTAATTTTGTTTTTATTTATTTGTTTTTTATTAAAGCACTCCTGATGTGGACAAAAATTGGTGATCCTGTTGATGGTGCACCATTATATATTGGTGTACAGTCATTCTTAAAACAATTTCATCCAGATATTATTAAAAAATATTTAGAATATCTAACTGAATATTTTAAATTGCTTATAGGCAATAGTAACAAGTACGTATATTTTTTCTACTTTAAGACTTAATAGAAATATTATTATTTTGTTGAACAATTTAATATTCAAATAAGATTTAAAATTTTGGATTGTGTGTAAAAAAAGATGTAGGAAACCTTGATTTTAATAGATTGGTACTTAAGTATTTTATATATTACTATTTTAAAATGTACTGTGTAGATAGTAGGATCATGGTGTATTATTGAAAATAAAAACATTAGAATGATTTATTATCTAAAATTCTAAAAGTATATTTTTCCTACTTCTTTTTGATTTAATTTATTGTTTTATTTTTTCTTACTTTTGTAGTCAAAATATTTAATATATCTAATGCGTTATTTATTTAAGATTTCATAGTTATTTTGATTTAATTTGTAAAAGTGATAAGTAAACTATTTTATTTTATTTTGAGTATATTATTTTGGAAAATATTTTGAACACATGGTTAATTTGTCAAATATTTTTGCTTTTATCAGATTTATAATTATTTATGTATATTTTATTTATAATTATGAATTCGCCTCCTCTTTAATATTTTTGAAGGAAGAACATTATGCAATATTTAAAGTATAATTTAATATTTTCTATTTGATTGTCCACATTTTTCTGGAACATATTGAATTCACATAATTTTTTAAAGAAAAAGTTTAATATTCTAAGTTAAAAGAATACTCATACTTTTATAATAGATACTTGAAAAATATTACCAAGTTTTAAATTTTTGCTAAATAAAGAATTTATTTATGATGAAGTATCATTTTTACAAATTTATTTTGGATAGTTATTTTGTCCTAAAATTGTCATACATATATTAAAAAATTTATTATGGATACATGATATCATGATATCATTGATAGCATTTTAAACTGATCATTTTTGATTTTCTTTAATTTTTCAATAGTAGTAGCAAGTGCCGGGTTAAGGGGGGGGGAGGCAAAGGGAGCAGCTGCCCCGGTGGAAATTTTTTGACGGCGTCAACAAAAGTTTTGAAATTTTCTTATGCATATACAAGTTTTTAGAAAAAGTGATTCATTTATTAATGAAAAATATTAATAACAATTATATAATATTGTAATTATAATAGTTATATTATAATAAATCGCTGAGTTATTTCGTCAGTGGACGTTCAGCATATTAAGGGTAAAACAATATTATTATTATTTAACGCTCGGATCTATGCATTTTTATTTTCGTTACACTGACATAAAATTGTATTTATTTTATTTTTTATATATCTCTATGTGTGTATTATAATTTATAATCATCAGATTATTAAATTTGATATTGATAGTTTCAAATAATTTATCTACACACTACCAAGCAATTGTTTTTATTATCTCTCTCTCTATTTTTCTCTTTCTCTCGTTATAATTGTCGTCGTTGTTGAGTTCGGTTCACGAATCACGATTGACTGGAAAAAAAAAACGTGCCTAATATTTTATTTTCAATCATTATGAGTGGAAAGCGCATACAAATGGATATAAAAATTAAAAAATTAAAATTGAAGTAAAATTACAGGTACATTATTTATTTTTTTAATCTACTATAGGTACCTCCAAGTGTTGTATAATTGCTTTCTGAAAATATGTATACATTTAAAATTATTAAGTATTTAGCAATTAATTATTTTATTAGTATATGTCTTTACTACCTTCAGGTATTGGTACTATTGGTATTTAGAACTCATAATTGTTATTTAATTGTAAATATCAGAGATGATGTACTAACTCAATGTAGACGACGGCAGAGTTGGGCAAAAACAAATCAAAATAATGAATAAAAAATAAAAGCCTGAATAACTAATTTATTTATGAATAAAGAATAATTTTTTATTCTGAATAATTGTGGTGTACTGAATAAAGAATAAAATTATTCTGAATAGTTTTGTTCGTTAATAAAACAATTATTCAGAATAAATTTATTCGTTAAAATCATGAATGATATTAAATAAATAATGATATTAAATATAAAAGTATAATTAATTTATTTTTGTCAATTATAATATATATTAATATGTATTACCTTTATATATATTATTTAAGTCTAAATAATAAGTATATTATCACTATACATCGTTATTTTGGATTTAAATTTATTATTTATATGATTATAGGGAATAACGAATAACGAATAATGAATAACGAATAACTAAATAATGAATAAAATATAGTAAATAAAAATCTCCGTATAATAAATAACGAATAATAATACAAATTAAAATAATGAATAAAAATAAAAATCAATAATAAAATTAAGAATAAATCAATGAAGAATAATTTTTTATTCAAATAATCAATCGAATAATATTTTATTCGACTAATGCCCAACTCTGGATGACGGAATAAATGAGACTAATAATAAAAATCCAACAGTCACAGCTATCATATATACGTCTATTATAAGGGTTTTATCGTATTGTTTATCGTTTAATCGTTCTTTGACATTGATTCCCTGTCAAAACCACGGTTTAAGATATACGTACCTATATATTTAAGTATATCTTAAACTGTGGTCAAAATAGGAACGTATTTTATGGGGGCGATCGTCCTCCCTGAATACATATTTAAGGAATCGATTATACGAGTAGGTATGTGAGATACACATTACAAATTTTTTTAATGTGGATCATTTTACAATAAAATAAAATTACGCATGGCTGTGAATACTGAATTGGGATTTTTGTCGGGTCCATACTTAGTGAAAAATCAAATAAAACACAAGCGTAACTTTCAAAACACAGACAGGTGTTAAAAAAGAACTACACAAAAGTTGATTCTAAGTGGATCAGACATTAGATTAAAAAAAACTATAAATATTAAGGATTCACCCGATTTAAATATTACCAAAATTTCACTTGTAAATTTTGAGCCTGAATTAAAGAAAAAATTTTAGTCGTCTCCCCTCCCCTCTAGAAGTAAGTCTAAATACACCCCCGGATCAAAACTTATATAAATAGAAAATAGAAATTTCGATATCGATAAAATGTTGGATGTATATCTACGATGTGGTATTTTGATATCGAATATTATTTTGTCATATCGATATCGGTAAAATAGGTCTGATATCGATATCGAAATACATCATTGTGTATCACTAATATTTAATTAAATTTTTTGGGTAAAATAGCAATTTTAAATTGAGAAAAATGTTATTGTAGACAGCTTTGATTTATATTTCGTGAGTCAAATAATATCACTCATTCACCTTGGTTCACTTTTCGAGTAAACCTAACCAAATCTAAAAAAAAATAGGGCTTATGGGTATTGACCAGGTTTTATTATTAAATCATGTTTTTTTATCTTTTCGCCTTTTTTTGTTATTAAAATGAAAATAAATTATATTTTCTAATTGTAAACATTTAAAATTGTTTATACTCTAAAATTTTTGAAAATAGTTCTTCTTTTATTTTGGTTTAAGGTTAATTTGAAATAAAGCTTTGGAGTAACTGATTATTTGATTATAAAACTTAATTATTGATTTAAATAAAATTACAAGAAATTTTCTGTGATTATGAATACAGCTGATAATAAGTTGACATTTATATGTATATGTATAATGTACATTTCATAATAAATTGTAATCTGAAAATCACAAATAAATCTGTCTTAATTTATTTATAGTGCTGAAAATTAAAATAATGCATTAATTAATGATTTTAATTAATTATGATTATTGTTTTCCTTTGTTAAATATAAATATAAAAAAAATAATATTGAATTAATAAATATAATAAATAATAATATTAATTAAATCTAAAATGCAGGCTATTCATTATGCGTCATTTTCTGAAATTTATAATTTTATAGTTTGTATAAAGTGATGAATGTATTTATTTTACAAAGATATACTTTTATGCTAACACTTTTTTAGTAAGTTCACTTTCATTTTTTTCTTTTATATTAAAATTTTAAATCTACAATTAGTTTTGAAAATTAAGTAAAATCTTTTTTTAAATATTGTTTTATTAGTCTTTCTTATTATATTAAAAATTGTGATTTATGAAAGAATATTATATCATTTAATAATCTTTTATGATTATTTTATATTTTTGATTCATTTATTTGTCTGATATTTCTTTGTGCTGTAAAGAAACAAAAAGAAACAAGATTTTCGGTATTTTTTTTTTATTTATTTCTTATTCATCACAATACCTTTAACTTTTTTAATTGTATGCATTATTTTATTTATTGGTATTATTGACTATATTTTTATTTTTAAACCGACTTTTCTATAAAAAAAATGACACGAGAAAAAATATTTTTTACCGATAATACCAGTATACCCCAGCAATTTACCAGTTATTTACCAGTCAAATTATGAAGTTGAATTTTCAATAAAAGTTTTTTTTGCAATGACAATAAATAAAGCACCAGGTCAGATATTAGCCTATTATGTAGTAAATTTGGAAAATAACGGTTCCTTAACAGTATTTTCAAAAGTTGAAATACCTGATCATTTATAAATTTATGCACCACAAAATAAAACTTTTAATGTGGTACAAGAGTTTTGACTTAAAAAGTTATTTGTTAGTATAATAATTCTGCATTTAGAGTTCTATCTAAAATATAATTAGTATATAAACATATGAATAGTCATTACCTATTTACCATATTTACATCATGCATGAGTTTTCCTAATATTAAAATAAAAACTTATAAGTACCTACTCTTAATATTTGTGCTATAATTATATAATTTTTAAATAAATATTAAAATGTACGAAAGTTGTGCATTTTTTTCAATCTAAATTTGAAATTGTAATTACTTTATTCTAAAAGAATTAAATATCTTCTGGACGAGACCGGTAAATTTAGCTGGTAACAATTATAACAAAATTCGGTTTGTCCTCTGTTGTTTCAACAAGGGCGTATTTGGGTTGTGGCCTGGAGGGGAGCAAAATTAATTTTTCTTCAATACAAACTTGAAAATAATTTACAGTTCATTACCTAAAGCTCATGTTTCTGTTATAATGATAACATATTATAATGATAGACTAGTAATTTATATTCTTAATTATTTATACATTATATTTTTTTAAGTAAATCAATGTATTATATTCAACAAAAATAAGAGCCATGGGGCGAGCGAATGCCCTTTTTGCTCCCCCTCAAATACGCCCTTGTGTTTCACTCTCTAGACATAATGTTGGCGGTAGAAGTGTATAGTTCAAATTTATATTGTGTTGGTTTCATAAGACGGTCGAGTCAGTCATATTATTTACATTCAGTGTAAAAATCAGTGATAGGTACATCATCGTATTCAAAAAATAATTCTCAGTGAAAATATATAAAAACGGAGCATCTTATATGGTTAAATAGCTGTAGTTACTCAAACGTATCGCGTAATATTAGTATTTCTATATAGTAAAAACTGTCCAAAGCAGAATCGCATCAGATAAAATAAATGTTCTGTTTTAGACAAGATTTTGACAAGCTTGTACAATTCCATTATATAATTTGTGAATAGAGAGAATTCAATTTAAATTTAATTACAGGTTAGGTTATAATGATTTTATTTTATAACAGATATCACTTCATTACGATGAAAAAGTAAATCGCAAAACTAATTACTAGGGCTCAGATGTTTATGAAATTCCATATTTTTTTTCTATTGATCCAATGTAATGCGGAACTGGATATACATTTGATTAATGTTCTGCTATAAGTATTTAATATTATTTTAATTTTGCATATTTTAAAGTTTTTTTTTATTTTAAATGGATATTTTTTGAGATTTTAAGAATATAAATGAATATTTCGGTACATTTTCAAACATTTTTAAAAAGATTTAAATTAACGGGTAGATAATTGATAAATTATCGAACCATATGATTGTGTTTTTCCCAAATAATTTTTAGATTCAAATTTGATCATATTAAAAAAAAACATTGCATCACAGTGTAACGGGAGTTTATTGATTCCGCCGGCTACTGTTTATATTATTTACATATCGATTCTGCCAGACGCTGTTCACCCCTCCCCTTTGTTATAGTTGATCCCATGTTTAAATTTTATAAAATTATAGTAACTGTTTAATCCAATATAATAATAATTCAATTGTATGTGTATTTAAATATATATATTTACCAAGACTTTGAATATATTTCCACCAATTTTGTGTCAAATGAAATCTGCATACAATGATCCGTATTTCAGGCCGTATTATATTTGCACCAATATATATCTATAGATTTTTCAAAATCGGAAACTATTTTTGATGGAATGAATAATAAATTAATTTCTGAACATTTTCCCACGATGTATTCAAACGATCGTGCATATGTGTCTTTAAATTTGTCTGGTACTAAAAAGTATATAAGTGAAATATAATGTCCTTTCTTAAAAATGTGTATAGTAAGTAGCTGATGAAAATATTTTGATACTATAAACAGTTACGGCGGAATCGATATGTAAATATTATAAACAGTAGTCGGTGGAGTCGATATACGTCCAGTGTTACGCTCATACTGTACATTTTATTCTACATATTTTTTTTAGCTAAAATGCATATTTTATGTTTTTTGTACATATTTTGAATGCATATTGGGTAATTTTTTAGTGTGTAAATGCATACATTCATACATCTTTTTAAGCATTCAAGCCCTAATGTAATTCCATTTACATTAGCATATAGAAAATATAAAATATTGATAACATTCAACGATATTAAATGTTATAAAGGTATTTATTGTTTTTATTCTTTCTGGCGGAAAAATGATAGAATTTAAAAATATTGTTTCTTCAAGTTTTTTTTGTTAAATTGACGACACTAATAGAAAGACTTGGTACATATTTATTACTATTAAATGTGTGGCGATAAAAATAAATAAATTCCTTATACAAATGCAGAAATCGTTTTTCCAATAATTGTTGGTGTAAAAATATTGTTTGATATATGTAATATTCAAATTTTAAAATATTACATTTTCGAATTAATAAGTAGGTATTATTGCGTTTTGATGCTTGACTGTGTACTGTTATTTAATACCACGGCTGTGTAATCAATGTTTCAGAAATTGGATTATTCAATTATGAACTTATATTATATACTTAGTATATATGTGTTGTTTATGTTTCCATCGATAATTATTGCATGATATAAGTGTTACGTATTATTAAATTGCTCATTGTGAATCATTTTTGTTTGCCTCCACTTCCCTTATTCACCGAAATGAATTAAATAATGTCAAATATACACTTCGTATAAACTGTAGTATGAGCATAGTACGGTTAATCCTGCTAGGCCCCTCACTAATTCTAAAGTTACTTACTGTTCTATCGGGTTTAGATTTTTTTTTTTATTACTTATATCCATTTCGTCGTCATAAATGTTCATATTCCAATATTTTATATTATAATAAAAATTAAATTATAAGTTACAAGAACTAGACTCCATTATCAGTTTTCAGCTATCTCGTATAATATGTCTTACAAATTTTATAAATCTTTTTTTACAAAACACAAATAACAATCAGCTTTTCACTGTATGATATATCGGGTATGGTTGAATTGCAATTTTTTTAGTCGAATTGCACTTGGATTGAAAAAAGGTAATGGTCGAACTGCACTCGTGTAAAAAGCAGGTAGTGGTCGAACTGCACTTCGACTCAAAAAAGTATTTCAATAAAATTATCATGCATCTGAAGGGGTTAGATTTATTTTATTTAGTTACATTTAATACCATTTAGTAAGTTGGTAATAGTTTTTAAATAATATAATATTTATACTATTATTAATTTTTATTATTATTATTATTTTAACTATTTTTAAAATAAGTCATAGGAAAAGTTTTTATAAAATGTATATTTAATTATACATTATTACAGTTAGTGTTTTGGATGATACTGATACCGATTATTTTACAGTAATTCTTTTTTTGCATTTTTTGACGATTTTAGTGCATTTTCTTAGTTTTTAGAGCATTTTTCATAAAATGAACAAAAATCGTTGTGATAATAAAAGACTTTCAGCAAAATTATACAGTACGACAAGTTATCGTTGATAATAATTTTATCACAGCTAGGCCTTTCCACTCAAATTATCGCCATTATATAGTTAGCTATTGGTTATAATGTATTATTATTTTATGAAAAATGCTCTAAAAACTAAGAAAATGCACTAAAATCGTCAAAAAATGCAAAAAAAAAATTACTGTATTAAGTTTTTACTTAATAGTACAAATTTTATTTCAATTTCATCACATTAAAATAATAAATAAATTACTAATTATAAATTTATTTTTTATTTTAATAAAATGTATCAACCATTTATCCGTGCTAATATATAAAATCAATATTTATGTGGCATATTAAAAAATTTGCCGTACAGACCGATTCCAGACAACTCCATTCAAAATGACAAAACCTGAGAACCCTATTTAAAGTCTACAATATTATACACTTTTATGACTGTAATATACTACATTACAGCCCATATCAATTAACAATTTCATAATAAAATTGAAAATTGGTTTTATTTTCATTTTTTTAATTATATTATGGCTTTTGGGAACTCCAAATTATTTTATTCGTTGCAGTCATGTAAGATATGAATATACTCGTATTTTTAAAATTCTTTTACATTTTTTTTTATAATTGTATGGTAAGTAACGTACTTTTTTTAAGTATTTAAAAGTATCTATGAGTACTTTTTTTTTTATCAAGTATTCAAATACGTATTTTAAATACTTCTGAAAACAGTTATCTATATATATATATATATTTTAATACTATTTAAAAGTATTTTTTACAAGATTGGTGTGTACATCAGTTTAGTTAAAACTTTGATTTTATTAACAATGAAATACATCAATATTATAATAGTTGTGTCAATGGAAACAAATTACTAATGTTTTTTTGTGTTTTGTTTTTACAGATGGATCGATAAGAATGAAATACCTAATGAATATTATGTATCTAAATTTTATATCGAAAGATTTATGTTTATTGCTAATATAGATCAGCAAATATTTTTGGACATGGTTCCATTCTTTTTAATTAATTTACTCGAAAGCGGAAAGGATTCATCATCTAAATAAAGAAAATAGTAAAACCGTATAATGTACACAACTTTTTTTTTTATAACATTTTTTATATTACATAAAATAACAATCAAAATTAATGTAAACTCTATCAATCTTAAGAAAAATAAATAAATAATTTTTATTCTTTTATCATTATATTTTTTATTATATGTCTTTTCACACACATACGTACAACGCATGCTGATTCATTCAACGTTCATTATAATAATTATTATAAGTTCAAATATGTATCATGTGTCTGCCGAGATAAAAGAAAAGTCAAGATAACAATATTTTTAAAAAATAATGGTTAAGGCAACATTTTGTATTCTCCTTACTGCAATGTTGTCCTAATGAAATGTTTTTATTGTTGAATCGCGTGAGAGTCGTCAATTTATTCAAGTATAATACTATATTATACTATAATTTCTGTGCCAAAAGGTATTCATAAAGGTTTACGGACGCAAAAAAATTTCTAATTCAATTATGTCCGTTGTAAAACAAAAACGTTATGTTCTAGACGTGATTTTTACCTCGTTATTTGGTTGCCCTATTATTATCTAAACCACTGTTAAGTATTAAAAGATAAAAAAAAAAAATATATAAATATTATATGTAGGGCCCGGAATTATATGCACTAAAAACGTACGAATATGCATGCATTTATGCGATGGTTATCATTCAAATATACATTCAAAATATGCAAAAATATGAAAACAAAAATGCATGTTTATTAATTATTAAATTTATATAATTTTAAAATGTATACAATTCATTAAATAATTAATATTCAACAATAAATATACTTTAAAATATATCAACTGTATTTTATATATATTATTGAACTGTATGTTGTATTGAAATTAAATTGTATTTTGAACACTCACTCATCTAGGCAAACAAAAAGTCACAAACGAAAATCAATCAAATGAAACAAATCAAGTGGATTTTTATAATATTTTTAAAGTTACCTGGAGAGTTACTATCGTATTGATACTTTTAGCAAACTTTATCTTACCTTATTATAACACAAAAATCAAATTATATAAAAGTACGATTCACGGAATTTACGATGAACATGTGCTAAGTAATAAATAATAATATTAATAACTTCGAAGTATTTTTTTCTATATATGCATTATATTTCGAAAAATGCTAAAATATGCATAATAATTTGAAATGTTCCAAATATGCAAAAATATACCAAATTTAATTTCGTATACCAACATATTAGATTAAGATTCATATTTCTGTCTTACCTAGCTACTATTTAATTTATATATAAAAAAATATGCAAATGCATACAATTCTGGGCTCTAATTATAAGTATTTTGTGTAATCGCGAAAAAGAATGAAAGTATAAAATTGGTCTAGGAGTCATATTTTAGTTAAAAATAAAAAACTGAACGAATTAGTGTATGGAGGATATGTATATGTACTCGTATGTTCGTAATAAAATGATATAAAGAGGATTTTCACACTTATGTAGTTATAAAGAACATTTCCGGGCATTATTCTCTGGTATCTAAGTCCATGCTGTAAATCACGGTTAAAAATATACATAAATATAAATATATATATATATACAAATATATACTTCTTAAACTGTGCTGTACGTAAACACAACGTAATAATCATAGGCGTGTCCAGACCTCCATGGCTGGAGAGGCCAGTTGTAAAATTAAAATTTTTTAATTACTACGCGATTTTTAATCTATATCTATATTTGCTACTTATTTTTGTTGTATAGAAATTATATAGCACCTGGAATTTTTTGACCCTACCAAATTAAAGATTTTCTTGATCTTAAAATTGGTTTCCTATGTTATTACAACTATGAACTATTAATTAAGGCCTATTAACTAATGAGCTACTTAGTTATTTTTTATAAATATTTTATCAACTATACATAAAACTTCTCTATACGCCTTATTACCGTTATTTTACAATAAACAGTTATTTATCAGTTTGGTTAAACAAGTAATTTATTAAAATATTATAAATAATAAAATTCAATATAACATATAATATAATATATCAATCTATACTATATATAAAATTGTAAGAGTTTTTCTTCGACCGCACTAACCGAGAAAACTACTGAATCGATTTGGCTGAAATTTTTTTTGGCTGAAACCCGACACTCTGCTGAAGGTTTTAGTACAACTTTTGTCAGAAAAAAATTTCATAAAAGTTCATAAAAAATTAAAAACAATTGTACATATATTGTACATGTACCTATATTATCAATCCGAGATTGATTATTTAAATATTAAAGCACTTCAAATTGGACGAATGACTATATTATGTCCTAAGTGCCATGCAAAAAATGGAAAGATGAAACCCATGGACTTTACTGCGTTGACGGTAAAGTTGTTTTACACCAATTTCAGGATCTTCCAGACCTAATTAAAAGTTTAATTGATAATTCTTACCCTCTATCAAAACATTTCTTTGATAATTCTAGACGGTATAATACTCTGCTTCAAATGACATCGTTTAGAGCAAACGAAATAGCTGAGGGGAACTTCTTGCCCTCTTTTAAAATTCAGGGTCAAGTGCATCATTTAATAGGTAGTTTATTACCCGAAATTGGAAATAATGCTAAATGTTTACAAATATATTTTATGTCAGAGTCGGATCAAATATCTATTCGAACAAATATGATTCCAAATTTAAAAAGAGGTCTCATTGAATCATTGCAAACAGTTTTGCGTGAAAATAATCACCTCATACAGAGCTTCAGACCTAATCTGGAGTCGAAGTCTTTTGATGAGTTGCAAAACTTTAAGTTAATTATTCATGCTGACAGAGTTCCTCAAGATGAACACAGAGGTCAATATAATGCACCTACCATCGATGAAGTAGCTGTATTATTAGTTAATGAAGCTGAAGGTCCCAGAGATATAGTTCTGCACGGTCGGAGTTCCACTTGAGTCGAGTTTCCGAATTGAATAGATCTTATGATGCACTGCAATATCCATTGATATATACTAGAGGCGAAGACGGTTATCACATTAATATTTTACAGAAAAATAACCAAAATCGAACAAAAACTGTCTCCTGAATGCAATTTTATTCTTATAGGTTTATGGTTAGAGAAACAAGTCTAAATCATCTACATCATTACAAAACATTATTCAGCCAATTCGCCGTAGATATGATGGCAAAAATGATTTCTGAAAGGTGTAATAATAAGTTTATGGGTGGCATAATATTTGTTTTCGCTGGTGATTTCCGTCAAACCTTACTAGTAATCCCTAAAGGTACTCGAGCTGATGTCGTTAATGCTTGCTTAAAATCTTCCTCTATATGGAACTATGTTGAAAAACTTTATTTGCGAACAAACATGAGAGTTTATTTATGGGGAGGGGACGATATTTTTCTAGCACAGTAGTTGAAAATTGGAAATGGAACTTTAAAAAATGAAAATGGTTACATTTCTGTCAATCACACGATTGGACGGGTGGTCAATAACGTGGAAGATTTGATTTCTACAGTTTATCCTGACATTTTTAATGTGTCCAATAAATCTTATCAGTGGTTATGTGAAAGAGCTATTATTTCTCCAAGAAATGTAACAGCAGGAGAAATTAATGATATTATCCTTCTAAAATTCGATGAACACTCACGTGAATATCTATCTATTGATACAGTTACATCAACAGATGATGCTATTCATTATCCACAAGAATTTCTCAATTCTCTTTCTCCTTCGGGATTACCTCCTCATAAGCTAAAATTAAAAATTGGTGCTCCAATTACATTATTACGTAATCTTCAACCACCAAACTTATGTAACGGTACAAGGTTACAAATAAAATCGTTGCGAAATAATATTATAGAAGCCGTAATTCTTACAGGCCCAGCGAAAGGAGAAATTGTATTTATTCCAAGAATTCCCATGATTCCCTCTGACTTGCTGTTTTCTTTCAAACGGCTTCAATTCCCGGTTAAAGTTTCTTTTGCCATTACCATAAACAAAGCGCAAGGTCAAACATTCAAGTACGTTGGCGTAGATCTTCGTACAGATTGCTTTTCACATGGGCAATACGGGGCAATACGTGGCATTTTCTCGAACTGGGGACCCGAATCATCTTATGATTTTAATTTCAACAGGAAATACAACAAAAAACATCATATACTCAGAAGTCTTATAAAATTCTTATTTTAATTCTTTTTTTTTTTTTTTTCTTCATCAACTTCAATCAAATTCTTTATCAACCATAAATTATTTCTTTTTTATCTGTATTTATTTTTATCATTTATAACGTTAGAAAAATTTCAATCCGTTTTCATTAACTGTTTTTTTATATTTACTTGCCGATCACATTAAACAATAATATTTGAATAAAAAATTAACGGAGTTCACGGGCGAAGCTGTGACGGGTCGGCTAGTATAGTATATTTAAAATTTAAATTTACCTTCTACCTAAAATTACCTACTGTTACTGTTTCAGCCACGGATATTGATACTATATATATAATATAATCTATGTATATATTCGTGGTTTCACCATCATAAGCCAAGAGGCCAAGAACGTCGCTGGGGAGGCCGATGCCCACCCTGCCTCCCCCATAGACACGCCCTTGGTAATAATAAAATAATAAAATAATTTAATGATTATTATCACCAGTGCAGTAGATAACGCAAATTTTATATGATAGTGTAGTGTACCTAAATATTATCTGTCTGAGTGAAGTGTAAATTAATTTAAGCAGATGGAAAATGCTATAAATGTGAATCAATCATGATATGACGTAATATGTCATATTATGATGATGCACTATTTAAGATAAAGTTTATCTTAAACCGTGTAAGTGTGTAAATATAGCATAACAAAATACATTTTACCACGATCGAATTATTATATTCCTATGTTATAAACATTATATTTTTTATATAAATACGGCCGAGGTGGGGGGTGTTTAACTCCCAAAATACCCCCCCCCCCCTGGCTACGCCACTGTGGAGGATGTAAAGTATCTCATCACTGTAAACGTACCGAGTGTCCCATGATATTATACTATTAAGGTTTATTAAACTTTGTAAAAATGATTTAATTCATTTTTTTTTGTCTATTATATCCAGTCTTAATGTATCAAGTTATATTTTTACAACATAAATTAAATTTTCTAAGAGAAGAAACCAAAAATAAATTAAATCTTCTTAATTAACAAAAAAAAAAACAGTCTCGGGAATAAAGATATCGTGATTTACTGAATAATTTATAAACGTACCGTATTATACTGAGTGTTTCTGAAATGATTGAGGAACTAGTGTACGCGTACTCTTTGGAGTAGCTAAATAAAGAATCTTTTAACATTTTATCAAATTATCTTTATAACATTATTTCGAATCTAGAAATTAATACTTGTAAGAGATTTCTTGCAAATTTCTCATGTGACATCGATTTAGGGCTTGTCGCACGTTTTTCACGCTCGAGTCGCGAGGATCAAAATATGTTGTGTAACATATTCTAATCTATTCTAGATTCGAAATAATGTTATAAAGATAATTAGATAAAATCCAGGTTTTGAAGATTGAAAAAAAATTTCAAATGCATATACTAGTTTCCTCAATCATTTCAGAAACACTCTGTATATATATTGTAATGCTCGGTTGACGGGCTGATATTATGATTCACGCATAATAAATAATATTATTCTCCGTGTACAGATCCCTGGATCACCATGTCTTGTCCTCTAGGATTTGTACAACTTATGTATGTCGGTTTTTGTTGTATTGGTAACATATATATTATCTAGATTTTTATAAAATAATAATAATAAAAAGAGTCTTATTTATCGTGTTCTTGCGGAGTCCTGAAGTAAAGCTTTAATATGTACTATGCAATAATATATTATCGCCTATTACCGTTTTTACAGTATTACATTTTGTGCTTTGATTTTTATTACAAATATTATATGAACTATATTTATACTATAAAGTAATATGTTTTTATTTTTTATTAGAAAAATTCTAACAAAAATTATTACATTATTACATTATGGGACACACAATAATAATAATACGTAATTTCCCATCACATTTCAAAATATTTGTACACAATAAATCCATTATACTCGTATTAATATTATTTATATTTCCAAGTACCTATTGAGAACCATAAAAAATGTTAATTAACAATCAACTTTAACAAAATCAAAGGCATTGAAAGAGTTCAATGCAAATTTCTAAATGTTGACCTTATTTTCTTAAAATACCTTGTCCTCCATATAATTACTCCCCGGCCCTAAAATTTTTTTATCTTAGTAGCCTTACTGATCGAAGGTATAATTTTAACTTAACATTTCTTTTTATCTTAATAAGTAATTCAATTGATTGTCCTGTGCTACTTTCAATAGTAAACTTCAAAATCCCTCCTTGTCATACCAGAAGCACTCTCTTTATTAATTTGCTAATGAAATCCCTACTTTTAACTATCCTCGAATCATTAACCAGGTATCCATCCTGTTATCTTATTACTTCATTGATTGTATTTTATTATTATTATTTTATATATATATATATATTATCACTATTATATTATCTATTCACTAATTTTTTTTGTTTTGGGTTGAAGGCTCATATTCATATTAAAAAAAAAAAAAAAAAATAACGTACTACTATTTGAAACTACTGGAGTCCAAATAATATATACTTTTAAAATTAGTGTTCTTTATAATTACTCAAATCTACTCACCTATGATGTCATGGGACTAATTAAAAATCTTCATTATAATGGTAATACGATGTTATTCATGTTTTGAAAAGTATTTTAGTATTTTTTAGCATCTCATTCACCAAGAATCTACCAGAAGGTTTTGGTGAGAAATGGCCCAATCCAAACGAGCTTTAAAAGTGAAGGAAAAATATAAGTTATGTTCATTCGGTCTAATGTTTCAAAACCATTTGTGGAGTCTGTTCACACGAGACTTATAATTATAATTAAACGTTATTAAAATTTAAAGTTATAGAACTATTGAAATACATATTATCAATAATATTTTCAAAATTGTTAATGAAATTTTAAAATGTTTAATTATGACTTATCACATTCGAAGAAAATATTAAATTACATTAAGAAGGTATTTAGAAAAAAGTAAAGCAATTAACCGTAAAACTTAATGGATAAATTCAAGACAGGGTATAAACAAGTTAAACATTTTAGTTACTTTTAATTAAATCACATAACGAGTTAATTTAATTTTTAGTCTCGTTAAGTTAGTATTTTTCTTTGTATAAAACCAATATATTTAAAATAATCTTTTGTGTAAGAAAAATAATAATAATTATCTGAGATGTAAAATATTATTTGGTTCTCTTAACAATGGCAATTTTCTTGGATTACTCGAACTTCTAGCAAAATTTGATCCTTTTCTAGCAAGTCATATTAAAGAATTTGGGAATAAAGGATCAGGTGTCACATCTTATCTTTCTAAAACAATATGTGATGAGTTAATTCATATTATGGCACGTAAAGTAAGAGATTCAATTTTGGATGATTTAAGAACTACAGGGTACTTCAGTTTATCTGTAGATTCTACTCCAGACCGATCCCATATTGATCAGCTTACTGTTATTTTGAGGTACGTTTCACCAAACGATGGACTTCCAATCGAACGTTTTCTAACATTCCTAGAAATCGGTAATCACACAGGAGAAAGCATGGCTAAGATGGTGCACAACTACCTAATAAATGAGTGCAAAATCGATTTTAGTAAGTGTCGAGGCCAGTCATATGATAATGCTGCCAATATGTCAGGAAAATACAAGGGTATGCAAGAAATAATATTGAAGATTAACAAGTATGCTATGTATATTCCATGTGCTGGTCATTCCTTGAATCTTGTTGGTAGAGCAGCAGTTGACTGTTGTTTAGATGCAGTAAACTTTTTTGGAATTGTTCAAGAAATATATAATTTCTTTTCATAATTTACCCATAGATGGACGGTGCTGTTGTCATTCTTCAAAGACTAGTCAAAAGTTCCTAAGTCTTTGTCAAAGACTAGATGGGAAGCACAATCAATAGCCACAAATGCAATACTTGAAAGTTATGATGGAATAATTTCTGCATTACATCTACGGCATATTGATACGACACAGAAAGGTGAAACAAGAAATCAAGCCATAAATATTTTGAATAAAATGGAAGAGTTTGAATTTATGGTAATGTTATATTTGTGGAGTTACTTACTAAATGAATATCATAAAACCAGTTAGTCACTGCAAGACCCTCAAATTAGTCTAGATGTATGTAAGAAATTGTATGCATCACTTTTGGATTTTGTTAAAGATTCCAGAAATATGTTCGATCATTTTGAAAAAAAAGTGAAGGAAAAATTGCCTGATGTTGATTATAAAAAAAGTAAATATACAGGTAGAAAAAGGCATATTAATGATGATGAAAGTGATGCAAATTATCATTATACTTATTCATGTCATTTTTCTGAATTCTTTGATTTATTTGAGTTAAGATTCTTTGAAAAAATCCTATAATGTTCTTGAGTAATTCTAGGTGGGTAAAAAAATTTAAAAAATTAATTTAAATAAAAATCAAAATGAAAGGATTGAATGAAAATCAACATTTATATAACATATTTACATTGAGTAACATTTATCATTAAATGGTACAATTTTATATTTTATATAACTAGTGCATTTTTATAACTCAATAGAATTAACTTTTTATACACGATGATGTTGATCACCATATGAAAAAAAATAATGTTGATATTTACGGCTTACAAATTCACCAACTGTAATTCGGGTAGGATTATCAATAACATTTTCTGCTTCATTCTGATATTCTGACGGATTCCAAGAATTAATTATCACTTGCTATGAAATTAATAAAAAAATATGTATTCTTTACAGCATTCATACGAGCACGTTAACGACGAGAAAGACATGACCAATAGATCAATGATAATGCCAATATTCTTCATTTTGCTGATGTTTTTTTTGAAATACAAATTTAATAAGCTATTTTGGGTATCACTTAAATGTAAACTTCACAAACTATCTACATTTCGAAAAAAAATTGTTATTTATAGATTTTACTCATATTGAGCAGTAGCTGTAACTATAACAGTAACAGTAGCTTAATCACTCACTATTTTCGCAGGTGTTGCTGAAATAAAATTACAAAAGAATAAACAGGTTTTTGAAAAAAAAAAAAATTACAAAATTGAATATCAACAATGTTATAATTGCGGTGAGAAAATCATATTTAGAATGTTTAAAAATTTTAACTTCATACAGGAAACAAACATATTACTGCAGATGTTAAATATGATATAATCGTATAATACCACACAATATTCCTGAAAGAAAATATTCTCAAATATGAACTGTATTTGTTACTGTAAGGTTAATGTTACGGTTACTGTTTTTCTTTTTTGGAAATAAAGGTTCCGGTTTCAGTTACAGTTCTTAAATTTTAAGCGATTCTTTTCGGTTACGGTTCTGGTCCCTGGGAGGGACTGAGTACCCCTAAATAAATAATTAGATTTTCTTGAGTACCTACTATATATTTTTAAAAAAAGGTGCTTTATTTAAATTTAGTTTTTACAAAATTACAAAACACCTACCTGTTGCTTACTTATTTTCATTACATAGAATGCTTGTATATTTTATTAGGATATAATTTTAATTTTGGACTGATTGCAACCTCTTTACATAAATATTATATGTATTATATTTATATAATGAAGGTTTAAATGAAACTTTGAAAGTGAATATAATTAGTTATGGAATATTTGGTGATTTGTGGTAACATGTTAGAGAGTGTCATATAGTTGGTGAACACGAATATGTTCGATTTAAATTTAGGTAGGAACGCAAAATGTGTCTTAGGAAACCTCTGCTGTTTTTTTTCCAAGTTAAGCACTGGAATTAGTGGTTCGATCTACTCCCTGTATAGTATACACTGTTTAAAAATAAATATCGACAAACCAACGTTTATCAATTAGAATTACGATAATGATAACATTTATTTAATGTCGATAGCTGATATTATATTTTTATTCGTTATAGAAATTATATCAAATAGCTATTAATTTTTTTTAAATAGGGTCAACAATGTTTGTACATTTTGTCATTTAATAATAGTACTTCACGCGAAACATTTGGACTAGCCGGCAACACACCTGTTGAGAAACACTGTATTAGAGTGATGTGCCTAGGAGTGAAATGAAAAGTAGTCTTGGTTTACGATTCCATAAATTTATTTTCGCGAAAACCAAATTGCAACATCTAATAGTAAACAAAGTTTATAAACAAAATACACTAAAATTAATAATAAACTATAATTAAAACTAATTATACACAATAAATATTAACACGATATCAGCCTTGTTCGAATAAAATAATAAATAGGAAATATGATATTTACAAATACAAATTACGAGATCATTCATGTCGACGGGTTTAATCGACTTCTTCAACAGTAGGTCCTTGAGAATGCGATCCAGGGAATCCAGCACCACCAGACGGCATTTGAGGTCCTCCGGCTTGTCCTCCGTGTAATTTCATCATTACGCCCGAGCACTTCTTTTGGATTTCTTTCAGCTTATACTCGAATTCTTCTTTGTCGGCCAACTGATTGTTATCCAACCACTGGACGACTGCGTCGCATTCTTGTTTGCAAGTATTCTTCTCGGAATCGTTCAACTTGTTGCCAGCGTCGTCCAACGCTTGTTTCACATTAAACACGTAGCTCTCCAGCTGGTTCTTGGCTGCGATCTTCTCTTTTTGCCGTTCGTCCTCCTCTTTGTACCGTTCCGCCTCGTTGAGCATCCGATCGATTTCGGCTTGGGACAAACGGCCTTTGTCGTTCTTGATGACGATGTTCTTGGACCGACCAGAACTGTTGTCTTTCGCCGACACGTTCAGTATACCGTTGGCGTCCAGATCGAAAGTCACGTCGATCTTAGGCACACCTCTG